CAAGTAAACTAGACTACTGATCAGTCATCGGCCATTGCCAAACCCGATGAAGCCTCATTTAAATCACTGATCAAGCGTACTGGTTTTAAGCAAGGATGCTAAACGTTACTACGAAAGTATGAGAAAAATGCTGCGCATGACCAAATGATGAATTTGTTGCACTGTGGAAAGTAGAGTAACCAAGCTATTCCATGCTATCAGATTTGTAAAACGTTTTGAGGTGATGAGTTATTATTCCAAAATCAAGGTTTTGTCAAAGGTTGTTATTCTTAGGCTAGTGGGGTCAGTGTGCAATAATTGGTGAGTCGTAATTCTGATGCACCGGAAGGTCCACAATGTCTGGCAAGGTCTCCTAATAACATGTGCTCACTATTAGATAATCGGGGGGGGGGGTTAGATGAGCAATGGGATCTCCGATTTCGATGGTTGATTTTTGACGGTACGGATTTAAAAACAGTCGACATGAGTCGCTTGGATAACGAACAGCAAGCTTAAACTGATTCGAATGAGAACAACAAGCTCTGAATTAGTTTTTTGTTAAAAACTTGCAGTTCATTCACCCATTCAACCATTGTCACCTTGGTTTGAAATAACAGAGCGTCTGTATTTTTGCTCTATCCGGTCTTGTTTATCTTCTGTCTTCTTTGCACTCTTCACGAGTAAATGTAATACATGTCATCGTCGTAAAACAAATCAACTCCTTAAAATACTTACTTTGGCATTGCGATATATTTCAAGGGCTTTCAAAACACTGCTTGAATATATGACATTCCGTTGTATAACCTTAAACTTTAATGTTTTCTCCAATGAAGTCTTAAGCCACTGCTATGTTTTCCTTTTTTCGTCTGTCAAGTCTTTAAACCCCCGCGGTGCACGGAACTTTGGCTGTATCACTCATTTTTCTGCATAAACAGCGCTGGTAGAAAATATGTCACTGGAAATTCTCGACATTCTTTCCACAAACCAAGAGTGAACAGGACACTGCCTTAAGTTGAACAGACTTGTGCCTCTCAAAATGCAAACAGGGTTTATTTACGTAAACCATGAAGTTGCTCCCAACGACAGATTGCTCCGAGACGTAAGAAACACACTAACCGTGCTTTTCAACAAGAGACATTTTAAAATTTTTATTGAAACAGTAACGGAAAAAAACAATTTTATGATTATTTTGAAGATTTGTTTTCATGGCGGTAACTTTTAAATAGGTTCAAAACAAGGCACAATTGGGGCGCCGGTTAAATTTTAACCAAGCAAACATGACTGATTTCGGTTTGTGCTAACAGAGGTAAGCTTGAGTAGCCAGAATTACTCAATTGCCTTTACACCTGCCTAACTTTTTCAAACTGGCACTTCAAAGAGCCGACAGATTGATGTTCATTCTAGTTTCAGAAGACTTTGCCAGGATTTCGGCATCGAATGACATGAAACCTGTACCCAACGTATAATTCTTTCAATCATTGCGAACATAAAAGACCCAAGCAGTTTTCCAAGGTGATCAGAGCAACAACCATGCTTCACGTTTGCCGAAAAGCTGCAATTCGGCTCCTCAGGCTCAACTTGGGAAGACTAACAAAGATGCTGTGAATTTGGTCTGGAAATCCAATCAATTTTTCTACTCCAGTTCAACATGTGACAAACTTTTTTTCCTTGGTTCTATCACTAGCTGATATTTCAGTTTGCGGATGCTTTGCCCATTTTGTCCTAGTCCTGAAGTAGATTGTGTGTGATTAGCTGAAAACGGGACACAGAAGTTTAAACTAAATATTTCCCGCAAAAAAACTGGTTAATATAAATTTGAGCCCGAATGTTAGGCTTGAGGTTAAACGCAGATAGGAAGTGTGCATATTAGGCATTAACGGATGGATTCCAGAACTAACTACCTATATGTCTGATGAAAGCTTTGGACCGTATTCAATCACGCACTGCGATTCGTACTGTTGGTTGTGGCGGATTTCAAAAGAATATTGGGGAACAGCATGGCCAACTCTTTGAAAGCTCAGAATTTTCATTGTTTTTGATGGGCCTCGGGGTCTTTTATGCGGCATTTTAGGAGTATCGCTCTGTAAGCTAAAGATCACACACTGTCCGACTAGTTTGCTTCTACACCACACATATGATAACATTGACAATTCCATATTGGAATTGTCTTGGAACAGTACTTTTAAATGTGATACAGCATTTGATTCTGGTAGAACTTACGGATTCTTTGGGAAGTTTTTGAATTAACTCGGAAGTAACTGGCTGGTGTGCTTGATCCGAAGGTGTCCGGCGTCCACGTAGACATGAGAAAATATTTCTGAAACACCAAGCATGTTGCGTCTGATTGGATTCACTGGTATCAAAGCTGCTGAAATTCATATGCATCCTTGAATACTTCGCATGCGTCGTAACTCCTCTGGTGATTGAAAGTGAGAAACTTGCGTTTTAAGACCTTTCAGCCGTCTGAATAACATCCATAATCACTTTCGTCGCCTGCATTGGGAAACGGACAACTGGCTTGAACTTGAATTTAATTGAAAGCACTGATTGGTCCATTATATCTCAACACTCATTTGCATCCTGATTCGCTAGACGACACAGCATGGGCAGGATTTGATGACGTTTTGTTTAGGTCTAACAGCGACTTATGACTCCCCGTGCTGTGAGGTTTTCGGTTTTTAAAAACAGAAAAATTCATTTTTAATCCAAACCTTTGGTGTAGGAAAACTTTCCTAGACGGTTTCATGAACATACAGAATGCAATCATCAGTGGTATTGCATCAAAATCTAATGTTTCTAACGGAGCCTCTATGAAGGCGTCCTCTCTTGAGGGAAGTCTGGCAAAAACTGGTGGACTTTGCGAGATGTTCCAAAATTCCCTCGCCTGAATGAAAGGCGTTTTCTAATCGCTTTGATCTGCTTAACACTAATAATGGCATACTCGTCTACAACCACTAGTTTCCGATTGTCTGTGAATTATCAGACCTGAGTAGGTGGTCCATATGTACTTAATCAGTGTATAAAAGTTTAGTTTGTAAGACCAGTGGTAATAACCTCTTTCTATCCGACTTTTCCTAGAACTGTACGTCAAGAATGTACACTCTCCTCGGAAACACGGGGAGCGATGCAAGATCTGAGATAGCGTTTCCGCGTTTTGGTCCTTAGGTTTTATTCAATAAAAGCGTTGCAGCCTAACAAAATGTCTTCTGTGATATCTGCACCCATCTCAGCTAACCACCGACCGATCCATCTAAACAAGCTTTGTAGTCTCTGATATGTAATTTGGTTCCGAAATAGAAGAGAAGACGGTTTAGGCCATTTTTATGCTTCCATATTATTTTTACATTTTATGACAGCTGTTAGATAAAATAAATAACATACATCAAAAGCTTTAAACCGTGTAGTTTTCTGCGTGACTCTCAAGTACGTATTACAAATAAAAACGCCGGAATTTTATAGTTGATATTTCTTTAAGCCAATCACTGTTTTTCAACGTTTAGTCATTCTACCCATTTGACTACGAATTCTTTACCAATTCTGGGTGAATGTCGGTTTGAAGAATTGCCTAATTGTTCAACCTTCTCGCCACTTGCCTATTTTTAGTAAGCTTCACAATTTCCGGAGTGACATCTTGTTTACGTTTCTTCGTATTCTGGAGGCTAATTGAAGTAGATTAAGTGCGTTCTGAAATGACAAAATCATCTGTTGATAAGTTCGACTGACTGACGAGTTACCCAGACCCCGCCTAGTGTCTATATATTTTCATAAACACTTTTTATCATTACCAAATAATATGTAAGCAGCAGGCAATCGATAAGTTGTTACCGCATTGAGCAGTGTCAGAGATATGCGTGGGGAGTTTGTTCGGTTGAATGGATTTTATGAAAACTGAGAATTCAAACTTGTTCTAGCGTATCCCGTAGACGCCCATTACACGAAGGAAAGAGGTACATACTTCACATTAACTGAGACAGAAATATTCACCGTCATTTCACACACGCACCTGATAGGTGGTCCGGGTGTTTCACATCCCCGAGCTGGAAACACGCACGGGGTCAAAAAAGCAATATCCGCCAACGGATGCAAAGGTTTGGCTTGGCTCATGTATCAAAACAAGCAGTTTTCTGATGGGCAAACAGGTCTCAAGTACAGACCTCAAATGAGCTAAGCAACAAGATCACTCGCGAAACTCATCCCACTCACTTAGCACCGAACACGGAGCGAGACAAATGAGCTGAATGCCAGGAGAAACCAGTTCTTCAGTCTAGTATTTACGGACTTGGTTACTACCTTCAGTATGATCCATCTCGTTGGTCCAATATATTTTTATTTCGCAAGTAAAATCTGACAGTATTTCACTGAATTAAGGCATAAATTTGTGGCCTACACCGGCAATAAGAAAATATAATTTAGCATCAATTTTGTGAACTCTGTTCCTTCAAAAACTTCTTATGACTTTGTGGAAGTTCCTAATTCTATTCAAGGGCATTTAATGGCAAGTGCTACTTTAGCCTGGATAAATTTCTTCAGAGAAATGACTGCACTTTAGGAGAATACCAGGCTTGTCCTCATATTAGTATAAATTTTTTTAATTCCGGAGTTGCGAAATTTTCTATGAACATTTGAGTGCAGCGCATAGATTAATAGTTTGTTACGCTTTGATTGGACCAGGGAAGAGGTTGAGAGAAAATCTAAGCCAAAGTGATGGCCAGGCATTCTGTGATGCCTTCCTCAAGAGTTTTTTCATTCTTGCTATCCGAATCCAGCAAGTTACAATCACGTGGAACAACCAATGAGATTGAGCAGAGAATTCTCAGTATTTCGAATATAAGAAGCTTCAGCGAATATACACTCATTTGCAAACTAATTTGGTTCTTTCGAGAGACTCACCTGGAACCCAGCTGAATTTCTCGTTTATGATGTTCTCAGGCAACTGAATGTGCTGCACCAGGCCGCCTCGTGTTTCAGTCGCTACAATATTTGAAATATCGCAATACATATATATTTTTGTAATGTACTACTCATAAGGTTGCTGAAAATCCATCGACAGCCCACGACCGGTTTCGCCTTCCTTGGGGCTCAAGAAGGGCGAAAACGGTCGTGGGCTGTCGATGCATTTTCAGCAACCTTATGAGTAGTACATTACAAAGACAAGAAGTTTCGTATTAGTTTCAAGTACATTACAAAGACAAGAAGTTTCGTATTAGTTTCAATTTTTTAGACCAGAATCAGGAACTTTAAAACTTCAGACTTACGGGCAACCTGTAGCTTTAATCGTCGCTGGATGTTGCTTTATGAAAGCGAGTACTTTCAGCTGGACAGATGCACAAGCTCATCGTGGCATACTGTGCACACTTTATACGTTGATGTAATTAGACTTAAGGTGGATTCTGGGTGGCGCTTGATAGTTTGTTTCTAGCTAAAAACAGTCCGATCGATTTCACATCTTTATTCGGGGATATAAACACTGTTTCCCCTACTAAGTAGCACTCTATGAGAAAAGACGCAATGTATTATCATACGATCACTCACTTGGATGTTTATATTGGACTTGGAAAAATTCTCATCTAATCTGGTTCCGACCGACTACCTATTCATCTATTATCTGGAGAGATGGACAGTTTCAAAACCACTAAAACTGACAGGATACTACAGGGTTGACTTCAGGTATGGGATGTACTGCGTTAGATGGACCAGCCTGTCGGCATTTGCTCATACTGAACTTTGAATGAACGGCTGACTGGCGTACCAAGTTATGTCTCACAGCGCCCATCTGTTATCGTTTAAGTACTTTCATATGGTTTTCACTGTCAACTCAACTTTCAGGAGCTTTTATCCGGTTTCAGTTCACTACCGTCCAAACAGCTGACAGACATTTCCATGCCACACCCATGTTAAACGTGAATGAATGAGGTAGCCAGGGCATGTCTGTGAATAAAATCAGACAGTATTTAAGATACGTCCTCATCAGAAGCATCAATTAGGTTGGTGTTTTATAGATGACTGGGTTGCTTTTGGCATCAAAACCCCCATTTTTTATGACTATTTTTGTAGGTGCAAGCGTTTGTGGTGAAATTGAAAGGTTATGCAGGTGAAAACTGCGAGGATGAGGAGATTTTGGTGTTTTCAAGTTCTTCCAGATGGGCCGTGCTGTAAAGCTGAATTCAGTCGCGTAACGTTCCGTTAGTATGTGCTGAGTGACAGACAGAGACAGACAAAGGGCTCGTTTTTTATATTTTGACCCGTCAACAATTCACATCTCATTTCTGATATGGGTATGTGCAAATTCTTTGGTCGAGTTAAACCATTAGATATAAGAAATTTAACTCAGCGCTAAAAGATATGATCTCAATGATCTCAGCACAAGCACACTCCAACAAACGACTAAGAATGTCAACAAACCAGAAGAAATGAATTTTGGGGTTATCAGAAAATTCGAATTTCACCCTTGATTATGGCACTCCTGGAACATGATAAATCTTCCATGGATGTCTCATTACATCTTCTATGTAGTAGAATGTATTGTTATGGTTGAGCGCAAATCCGGACTGGTCTTTGACCGCGAAGTGTGATTTGAGTAGGCAAAACGACTGGACAGTTGGTTAGCCCAAATTTGGATTTCTCATTAAGTTCTCACGGATGATATTGTCAGTCTGTCTTCGAGCTTCTATTCATGATGATCCACTGATTTTTACCTTCACCTATCTTCCCCATTAGGCTTCTGGTTATTTGTCCGCTTCCATCTAGCGAGCTGACCAATGTGTTGTGATCTGCTTCGATCCTCGGTCTTTTATGTACTACAGATTGTTGAACTTGATATTCGTTTGAGACCTTTATCTTTAGCTACAAACCTCGCAAGCTGAACCAATAGCAGTCGCCTGTATCCAGTTTTATCGTTTTGTCACTCACAGGAAAGAAAAGATGAAGCCAATAGTCAGTCTCGTGGTTTCGTGGTAACGTCTTTAGTTGTAAAATGCTTTTAGGTATCAGGACAAGGTGACGTAAACTCGTTTAAAATCATAAGACAGACAATTTTGCCCGTTTTGCTTAGCAAGATAAAATATTCCCAATAGACTATTCATGTGTTTTATCTCTTTTTTTCTAACGACGGACAGTTTGCAATATTATTCATGTTTCTCCCACCTTGTGTGGCCATCAGTGTGATTATGGAACGGCTAGACATATCTGGTCACAATTCGGAGCGCGGTCTGACATTGCCATGCATGCTTTTGGTTGCACAAAAAACTCCGAATTCTGCAGCCTACCCAGTTACATGCGTCATTTGGATATTAATGGCAGTCCGCTAATAAATAGAATTCCACAATTTCACTATCAATATTTGTATGATTTTCTTTTGGTATGTTTAATTTAGTATTGTCGATAGTGAAGAAACGCGGCTCCCAGAAGAACTTGAGATGATATCCTGACGAGCACCAGTTATACTTGATTTGCTGAATCGTTTAAGTTTTTCACGGATTTTAGTTTCTGAATCAAGTTAATTCTTTAACACCGCGGAAATAATAGAGAGCTATAGGAGTATACTTTCGTAAAATTGTTCAATTCAGTCACTAAAATGTGCCACACAAAGATTTGTTAGAACTGTGGATGTGAATCCTCTTTTTGAGTCATATTACTCGTTCATATTACTCGTGGAGGTGTCCCTCACTGAGACCCCACAAAACGCGCCAAAACTCTCACTTCAGATAGCCTGATGTGAGTCAAGCGCATATTTGCCATTGAGGAGAATATTTATTGCTCATCTAGCACAGGTAAAAAGAAGTGATGACAATCCACCACCAGGTGCCACCTCATGAAAACCAAATTCAAGACCAAAAGAAAATACTTCCACAACCAAGAGCAGCGATATAAAGTAGCAAATCGGATGTATGCAACAGGTTTCGTGTTGGGCAAGGTATAAGGAAAATTTGCGCAAGAATAACCACCAGAAGTCATCGGCCCAATTCCTTGATCTAGATAAATGATGAACAGTAAGGTCGCAAATTCAATCTGGAAAACTTTGACGTCCGCATACAAGAAATACAGAGAAGAATTTCCGGATACTTGATATTTCTTAAAAGATTCGATAAAGTGACACATTGAACTAGATCTAATCTATACGTCAATGCGTGCGTAAACAAAATTGGGCGTTTCCTGTTGCGTCACAAGGCAACTATGCACGACTACAGTGAAGCCTTTTAACCGGCCTGGTGTACAAGCACGCAAACAGCCTGTTTCCGATTTAACAACAAAAACGCAGCGAAAATGTTTTCTTAACACATTTTGCAGATGAAACAAACAAGTTTCGTTCTGTGGAACTTTTTAGGAGGTAACCCTATTTAGTTAACGCATCCACTATTGAGTAGCTTAAATCATGTCTGGAAAAATATGGCCAGTGCGCCACCTTTCTGGTAAATCGAACTTTGATTCTTTAAATTGATCTCTTCAGCGTTGACAGCCAAAATTTACCCAGTAGATGTGCTTGAAGTTTGACGTCATTAGTACTGATTCGCAAGTATACGGTGCTCAATTTACCGTAAGGGCTATTACTACCAAGCTACGCGCGTAAGTCTAGTATCAACCAAAGAAGGATTCTTGGACACGATTTAATTCCATCACGTTAACCTCAGGATTAACAGACGTAGAAATGTTGTGTGTTGACAGGCTTTGTTCATGAGGTCATCGATGATTTTCTAAAAAGCGTCGACACTGGTGTCGTGTGCGAAACATTCTCTCAGCTGCTAACCTGGAAAATTAAAAAACAACATTTAAGACATCTTAAATAAACGTTTTTTTATTCAATTAGCTCCAAAAAATCAGAAAAGTACTGTCCATGGGTGAAGTGACCGAAGCGCCACTATCAACCTCTACATAAAACAAAATAAATATCATATGTGGAATGCGGCGGCATATAAAAATGCACACGCTTACTAAATTATGCAAATTTTTCTTACGTGAGTCTCACCTTTGTGTGAAATTACTTTGTTCAGTCTGGACAAAGGTTTTTTCAGTGTATACGGGAACCGCCGCCTATCTGTTTTTTTCGTGCGGACATTGTCAAACACAGAACCAATAAAGAGAGGAGAGTTTAAGGCTTTAGCAGCAAAAAAGCTGAAAAAGATGTTCGTTCAGCCGTAACACTTTCAGTGCCTAGCTGTCATTTCACCAGAAGGACGCATGAGGGCTGGAATACTACCAGATTGCCCAAACCTAGACAAGGGAAGTCGAGAGACAGAGATCGGGTTCGAAACATGGACCTTCCGGTCAGTAAATTCGCACTCTAACCTCATGGGCCATCTCACTTTGACACCAAGTTGCTACACACAAACATACTTCACAAATTGGCCGCCTTTTCGTTATTTAATTAATTTTGCAACCCTTAGAGTGCTTTTTTCTATATGTCGGCTGACTGAGTTTGTGATGGAGTACAATCTACTCAACCTACATACCACTAGAAGCTAAAGATTGCCAATTTAAAAGGGGAATGTAACGAAACCAACTACTAATAAGGTTGATCAAGTTCCAACCGTCGAATTAAGAGGTGTCCTGGGATGGGTCGGAGGAATCAAAATTAAAAGTCCCGGCCGGTCAAATGATTAAGGCTGACCATCCAGATGACCAATTATACTGGGAGGTGGTCCCCTTGTCAGCAAAACATTTATAAGCAAAGGTAAAGCAGTGTGCAATACCTCGACACTGAGTCACATCTGAAGTACAATGTTCGGCTAACTTACTACGTAGTCGTGACGTCACCTCGGTTGGTGACGGAAGGTTCGCAACCAATTGTCTAACTAAGGAGACAGAACAACACCAGTATACACGTTCTGAATAATTGGCTTTCCTGATAACATTTCTCAATATGCTGAAGCATCTCAAACGCATACTGAGGCTCCAGCTCGACTCATACAGACAGAGTGAAATACTTTCTTCTTTAGTGTAATTAACATGAGATGACAGCTCTAAATTCGGAAACAACCCACTACCAGTTTTGTCGTTTCAGTGGCCAATCGGATGAACGTATTTCATGGAAGACCGGAGAGTCTACTGATGACTTTAACAGCAGTTCTGTGGAAGGTTTAATTTTGATCTCACGTGTCAGGTGTGTTTAGAAAACAAAAGAAATTTTATGGAATATTCAGGCAGCTCAGAGGTAATAACCATGGAACTCTAGGTGGCTTGTGTACCACATATAATTCGATCACCGAAAATATAAGGGCCACGATCGAGTTCCAAAATCTAGTAATTTTGTCATGTATGTGAGCAAAGGTCAAGTGAAAGAAAAAGCTTAGGGATAGGTCGAAGTACGTGTATTTCTAACCATCAGCTACTTGCCGACAAATATGCGAAGTACCTTAGCATTCTTATTGAAACGTGATCTATCTAAATGCAAAAGTAGGTGAAAATGGTGGAAAGCACTTTGATAGACACACAAAACCTGTTTCTGCGCAAATCCTTATCAAAAGGTTGTGATCAATGTTATTAGGATTCTAACGTTTTGAGATCCGGATCAAGTAATGGTTGGGTTTTTGGAGTCATTTTCGAAAACTTTCTGCACCCAAATTTCTTCTGGGCATTTATTCAACTGAAGTGAATATGACCAGAAACTGATTACTGACTGAGCAATTGAATAGCAATTACCAAGCTCAGCGAACTGACCAACAACCACCTGATCAATGAATGCGCTCCATCACATGATCAAAAACAAATTAAAATATCGCTCTGAGTACCGAAAATCCGAATACTTCAGGTTAATTGGTAGCCAATCAGTTCAGTGCATTTAGTCGTCTGAAAAGATTCTATTCTTGAATCGGGGGGCTTCTTTGATGAAGACGAAAGTTTGACGTTTATTCGTCAATTTTCGTTCATCGGTTGGTGTGAATGAATGGTTAAATTACAAAGGAAGTTGGGCGTGATCTGCAAATAAAATACGCCAAAGCAGTTGAACTACCGTTTCCCTCCTAATAAAAGTGATCAAGGCCAAAAAACGCCTTTTTATTTGCGGCATTTTGAATGTCTACTCAAAGTGGCTTAATAATAGCCAGGAGCAGAAAAGAAAGCCTTGTGAAAAATTGCAAAGTTAGAAACTTCTACATCATAATTGCTAGCCGAAATCCAGTGGGCTATTCTAGAGGTAAAGCAGCAAAATGTTTCGTTGTAACTCCAGGTTGGTTTGGGAATCAATATGTGAAACAGAGAAAAGCCACTGTATAACTTACAAAAAATATATCTTGTTATTTGACAGTATACTATGCTGCGCTACGTCATACTATGTTGTGCCATATTGTGTCAAACCATACTGTACTATGTACTATCATACTCTAGTATACTATATCCCGGTATATCACAGTATGCCGATAGCCAAACGAACATAACAGTACACACCATTCGACAAGCCTTACTTGACCGTACGTAATCCAATAACGGGTCAACTTTCATTTGACGTTCAAATCATATCCCCTGCTGACAACTTCCAATCCCCATGGCGTTTGAAGACACACTTTGATTAGGCTAACAGGTGCGATCAGTGAAAAGTACGAGAAACGGAGTGGGCAGTTTTGATAGACCTGTTTGTCTTAAGTGACTAAAATTCCCGCTTTATCTACCGCAGGCTACACAAGTGCAGTGTTTACCGCAGAATAAGGCGAAATATGTATTTCACTACTGGCAAAAAGTCTATAGGACTAAGGTAAAAGATCGCCTCCTGGAATGTTGTTTTTATGAAAAGATTCACAGTAGTTCCAACGCTGCTTGGATTAGCCAGACTTGGCTTATTCGGCAGATGTCAGTGTAACACAAAAACTGATGTTTGATGAGCAGACTAGCCCGATCAATGACAAACGCGCCTCGAATTCGTCGCCTGTATTGTCTGCCATGTAGTTGATCTACGTAGGGAATGAAGCGCAAGAAATTCCGTTTAGGTTAGTCCCACAAAATAAATACAAATAATGATAAAAGTACACATTAGATGATAAACTGAACTGTTTATTTATTCACCACGAACTTTACTGTTCCAGTGCTGTCTTGCTGTTGAGCAAGCGTTTGGCATACTTCTTTGGACATCGAATCCACTTTCCAATTAGAACGCCATATATGAGAAGGGGATGGTGCGATGTCCGAAATGCCGTTTTAACTAAAATTGTACGCGGGGAGTGCATTCAGAACTTTCACTTTCAGGTACATCACTGAGTTTTCTGTCTGAATTCACTGGTAGAATATCCGAATATCTCGTTGGTGAAAGTAAACACAGATTAATCCGCCGCAGCTCCCACATCTGGCTGAAGGGTGCTATGAGATTTGAACGATCCCGCCTTCCTCGTAAAAGGAGATGTGCACTAGCCCAAGTAGCGTGGAATCGATTTTCTGTCATTCAAGACAGAATTACACCCAGCTCAGATTTGCCGCGAAAAGTTTTGAACCACTCTGTAATCAACACTTTTAGCATTCAAATTCAATGTATGGTTTTACAATAGGACGGGGCAGCCATACAATCCGTACACAGCATAAGATATTCATCATTTGTGCCATTTACTTGGTAGAGTGGACTGCTGAAACACCAGATGTGAACCTGACCGAAGTTGAACCAAATACCACAGTGCAGGCGACTGAGAGAAATAGTGACGGCGACAAAAATTCAAGAGTTAGGTTTCACAACAACCAGCTGAGTACGTCGGCTAGGGTATTCTCTGATAGGGTAGCCACGTAAGTACAGGGTTAAAAGCGATCAGGCTGTTGTCATTCACATGCGTTTAAAAGGAATTGGTCAGACTTTTAGAACCCTCATTCGGGAGCATGGGTTGATCATTGAAGAATACACACACCGACTGGTAAGCCTCCGGCTAGTTGATTGCTGCATACCTAAAAGGGGAGTTGTCATACGTCCCATTGTTGGCATCAAAATTTATATAACATAAGCTACCAGTGTGAGCAAATAGTAGATTCCTCAGTGAACCAGCAAGCAGATGAATGAATCTAGGGGATGGAATTGACTACAATTCCACTAGTGGTTCCAATGAGTAGGGTTCAACAAGAAATTGAACCCGCACACAGCATTCAAAAGTGCAACAAGGGTTTAGCACATGCATGCAAGTTACCACCCGTACGGATTTAGACTCGATAAATATTTCAAGAAGCTGAAGGTAAAACGCTCACCAACGATAAACGATAAGGCCTCCCGCTGAAGAATTCTGTGTGGAATAAAATCCTGGCTCCTGTTTTCAGCAAACACATCGCCGACCTATCTGGGGCCAGAAAGCCGCAGCAAACAAGCTAAACTTTAACACCTTCAATGTGGATCTGCAACCAAAGATAGCCGAGGGTAGGCTCAGCGAGCAAAAAAAAGCAAATGAGGGCCACCATTATAAGCTGTGAAAATCTCGTACGTGCCGTACAGTGGTTCTAGCTGACACAGTTTTTGTTCTTTGACGATTTGAACAGGTGTGATAAACGCGTATTGGAGGCGTTGGCTAATGTGATTGATGCGTAAGTTCAGCGGTGTCCGTGGAGTTTTCATTGAGGAAATCGGGGTGAGCTATGCAACAGCTTGGCTTCACGGGAGACACTGAGGTCTGATAATGTCTCAAACCATTGACGTGTCCCCTCTCGGGGTACTCATCTATGTAGACTGTATTGACCAGATCCGCTGAGTTTGCTGGTAATGCATTCCATACTTCGTTGCTGAGTCACTGTTTGACCTCCTCTAGCTCGCTCCCATCCTTGTACAAAACACTTTTCGAGAAATTCGGTTAACTGGCACATCTAACATCTGAGCAAGCCAGCGCAACTCATGGAGTCTGGCCAGTTGATAGACCGTAGAAGACTAAGCTCGTCCAAAAGCCATTCGAAATACTTCAGTATTTCTGATCCACTGTTCGCAGCAGAATCAGATAATGCTCTGAAAACATCAATGGTCAGACAGTGAAAGTCTTTTGACGTCCTCAACGCGCAGCCGCTAAGCTTGACCCGTATAATAATATGGGGCACCCGGGAGCATTGTAAAGTCGGTCCGTGATGTCGCGCCTGCACCTCAGGTGATGCTGGTTCATAAACCGCCCATGACTTTCCCAATCGACATGGAAATATCACCTTTCGAGAGACCACCAGGAATGATACAGATGCCCAGGTAGAAAAATGTGTCTAGGAGCCTCAATCTGTTCAATCTGTTCATCCGCAAGCATGAGTTTAGGGTCGCACCCATCTACTCCTGCAGCAGCACTTTGAATTTTGCAGGTGTGAAGAGCATGCCGAACCACGAGGCAGGATTATTTAAATTGTTCACCATTATCTGCATGGTGATGGCGTCAGGTCATAAAACAGCTATGTCGTCTGCGTACTCTGTATCTGTATGCAAATGTCCTGGAAGCACTTTCACCTCACAGGCCAATATTTGGTCTTCCATATTCGCAACAGTGACAAAGTTGGAGAGAAAGGGTGAAAGCAAACAGCCTTGGCTGATAACGCTTAATGTGGTGAGAGTTCCCCGCAAACCTTCACACGTCCGCGGGAGTTGGCGTAAAGTTTCTGAAAGAGGGTCGATAATTTATGGAGGCTTACTCCACACTCCACAGACACTGTCGTAGTGCCTCACGGTTCAGGGAGTCAAAGGAAGGTTTCAAGTCAAAGTAGGCAATCATCGCTGGTCGCCGGGAGAGGGGTCACTGTTCCAGAATCTGATGGAGGGTTAAAAGGTTATCGATGCGTCTTCGTGCAGGACCCAGCTTGGTTTTCGTGGATCTGTCTCCCCTTGTGTTCAGTCATACTTCAAAGGATAAGACCAGAGGGCACTTTCGATGCCACAACCACCAGACTGACGCCCTGGTAGTTTTTGTACAGCCTCCGTTTAACCTTGCTGGAATATCTGTCGACGTGCCTCATTCTGCAGGCACTTTTCCTTTGCCGCATATCGCAGCAATTTTTGCCTGATGTGTAACCAGAGATTCTCTGCCTACTTTAAATAAGTTTGAATAAAGACCGTCCGGTCATGGTGTCTTATCACGTTTCAGTACGGATATTTCGCACTTTATTTCTTCTTCCAATGGACGATTAAGGTTCACAATCCATTTATCCGTACGAAATGCCTCCAATGACCGTGTTGCAGGAAGCTAACTAAACTGTCCTTCAAAGTTTTTGACCCACCATTCCAATAAACTTTTACGCGAGTTAGTCAAAGAAGTCCTTTTTCTTACCGTTCACTGATCGTTGCATGCCTCTGATGAGTCGATGGTATCAGTTGGTGTAGGGCACAGCCGTTTCATGTAGCAAAAACCTTTTCCATCACCAAGCTTTGATGTCCACCAAAGCTATCGGTTTTTCCTTAGGCTGTTCGCTGTTGGACGTTTAAGGGGTTTGCGTGCTTTTCTCGTACTCGTTGCCTTCTGGTATGGATTTACTGGCATCAGTCAATATAGGTGATCTTCACGATGTTCAGTGTTTTCTTGGTCGTATCGGCGAGGTCGAAGTGAACGCCGCTAGCCTAACTCTTCTCACATGCTTGATGAACGTGTTCGTTACCAGTTCAGCGTCGCTTTTCTGTAGACAGTAGTTGAGCTAGGTACGGCAGTGAAGCATCAGTGCTGAACACTGATATCATGCTGCCGATGATTGACGATGATGATGATGAGCAGGAGGAGGAGGAGACACTTGTGAGCTATGGTAGTTCTCCGAGGACGGTGGATGGGCATGTTTATTGCTGACTTGCGAGGGCTTGAGGGGTAACGAACTATCAGGCGCGCATGCACCGTGGCGTGATCGGTATCAGGTTGTGTCCCGAAGGAATTGTGACTGTCCACCGTTGACTGATGATCAAGTAATCCAGCTGGCCCACGGTTGATTTGCAGTTGGCTGCCTCCAGATTACGCGATGCAAACGTTTATACCGAAATTTAGTGGCGCCTAGAAAAATTTGATGATCACAACTGGAAAAGAGCTCTCTGTTTTTTGTGCCAAAGCCATCGATTCCGAAGTGACCAACCAGATGTAATTCTGAGAAACTCAAACGACCGATCAGGATGTCCTTATTGCCGAAAAAATCGCATTATCAGTGCTTCTTTTCTGATGAATTAGTCCGGATGATTCTCAGTGGAACGTAACCTTCTCAGCTTCAGAACTGCAGTCCATTGGGGCAAACATCGACACTGCAATCAGGCATCGATATTGTGTTGGGGGGCAGTGGGTTTGATTGATCGGATAACCCACAAATAAAGCACATCGGTCAGGTTACTAACAATCAAATGGCCCAGTAATGTTTGCTTGTGTAGTGGGAATGGTTTGGGGAGAGAGATCGGTGAACAAAGACCTGTGCAAGCAAATGATACCACCCGATCGCCTCAGGCTAAAGAATGGGTTTTGTTGAGGATCCTCACTTTGAGTCTTTGATTCAGATGTCTAGCCTACAGGGTGGTGAGAGGACATGAGGTTTTATTTGGGAACCTACCCGCTAGCTTCTGACTCAAAAGTCTGATCCGAGAGACTGCAAACAGTAAGGTTTCCATTGGTAATCTGTCCGGAACCAGGGGCTCATTAGACTGACCCACCCGCATGCAGGCCTGGCCTGGCTCGAAGATGCGAGGAGTAAGGCATCACTGTTTCACTCACGATACGGCTACACATAGCAGGTGGCTGCGTCTTGGATTTGAAAAATATTTCGACCGTATAGGATAGTACGCCGGCTGTCACGCTTAACTATTAGGCGATAAAGGTGTGCCATTTTTGGGGCCAACCTTTCCTAAATTATCCTTTAACGGGGAAGAAAGCATTATAGTTATGCTGGTCTTCTGGGAGGGAAAATCTTGCTGTCTTCATACTCCTACCGCAGAGGACAATACGACTTTATCCGAGACAATTTCGTAGCAAGATTACAGGTATCACTAGGTCTCGCTGCTCTCGGTCTGAATGCTTACCTCTGGCCTGGTTGTACCTTGTAAAACGAGGTTCCAGGGATTGTTGCAGTACTCAAGCCCGGCCACCATTTTTAGGTGATAACTGTAGGTCGGGGGCGACTAAGCAGATAAAAAGTACTATCCACGGGCGGTAGCCAGCGACTCGTTAGCATGTGAGGTTCCTTGCTGCAGTTTCTACACGGCAGTTCCTACACAGTATTGCTAAAGCACTGGAATAATACCCCTGGTTATGAAAATAAAAAAGCGGAAACTATCTAGGGCCAGTCAACACATCTCCTGGACAGAGCAACGATGGAAGTGGCGTTTTATTAAAAACCTAGTGTAACAGTGGTCAGGGAAAACCTAGAAACTCACTGAACATAAAGGCATGGAGGTTACACTGGTGGTCTGTAATTCATGCGACGGCGTGAGATGGATGTTTCTAAGAGGAGAGTGAGATGATTTTTGGCCCTTCAGCTAAACTCATTTTTAAACTTTAAATGATTTTCTACGTAATGCGGCCAAAACTTGACTGACGGAATTTGCATTTTTACCAGTGGTGAAGTTCAGCTGCTGATTCTTTGTCTTCAGAAACAATTTTGAAGTCACTCACAAATAAAACTAAAAGATTTAATCGATGGGGTACTCGCAAGTACATTTGGCACACTTTGGGTGGAAAAATACTTTTCAGTCTTTCATCAGATGGGAAGCACGTTCTTTGGAATCTTGCATATCGAGAAAAACAAGCTCTAAATTACATGTTAGTCCCCATGCAAGTGGTTATGGACTTTCCTTGCCTTTCGCTTTATCTTTTGGTACGTTTTCCGATTGTGCTTACTGAATTTTGCTCCGATTGGCTGCGCTAGTTTTGTTCAACATCAGAAGAAAGTGAAAGCACCCATTCACATTCCTCCTACGGTAAGACAGAAATTCATTCGTTGGACCCCTTAGCGTATTTTCTTTGATGCATGGGCGACGTAACCGACGTCCCCCTTCGCCAATCCACGTTACCAAGGAGAAACATTTACGCTGGTTCACGATGACAGTGGTTATCTGAGGCCGAAAATCTATTTTTTTCTGAGAATATGAAGCTTTCAAACCGAATAAATGACGTCAACGTACAGTTGCAGCAACTTTGATGAGTTTGCATTGGAATCTGTGGTTATTGGCAATGGTGGGAGTGCTTACACCACTTCAGGAAACCATAAGCCGTTGGTTGTCGGTAATAAATATGCTGATAATGCCGAGGCTCAAAGGAACAAAAAAGCAATAACGCACTATCCTGTCGTTTATTTGTGACGTCTAGAATCGCAGCCAAAGACCTTATAACCAGGAACGAATAGCCCCAACATTACATCGAAATATATTCGGCACAGATCCGAGCAATTGGTACAGAAAACCAGAATAAACGAGATGGCGGATGGAGGAAACTTGGCAAACATTTATTATTTAGCCTAAATTGACTGACTTTCACGTCGCATATAGTAAGTCCAGTAGTCAGTATGACCTTCTTTACCGTTTGACCAATAGTCTGTGAGACCTCAGGCCGAAAAAGCAATCTGTAAGCTGCCGCTGTTTTCTAGACCAGGCTGCAAGAATGGAAGTGTGTAGAAGCATCTAAATGTCGTAAAATCTCATTTGTCAAGGCTCGGTCGCTCACCAGCCGAATGTTTGTTGCTGGTTTTTGGAGAGTTGGTGTTACGCTGTACGAAGTACACACGAAGAACAACGATTTACTGCAATTTCTGAATGCTTTTTGCCAATTCTTCTTCGACCGACAGAAATGTTGGCGCGCTGTTCGTATACAGAAAAAACTTAAGACGGACACAGCCGGAGTATAGTCTACATGCGCACAAAGTACAGGCAGAGCTTTCCGTTTTTT